GTTCCTTTCTATCTGTATTCTACTAGTATGGTGTGGTCTCAACCCACAATCTTCCGCGACGAAGCCATTGTTTCAGCTACACAGTAGGATCTGGCTATGATTAAGTGCGGTGCGATCCTGAAAAGGACTGAGTCGGTTAAAATGAATGACGACCAGGAGGGGAGGGGAGGGGAGATTAGATTTGTAGCTACTATGAACGCGCCACAAGCTGAATGTTATGTGCTTTGAGCACAAAGCACCCTTCCCTCAACTAAATAGTTAAATGTGAAGGTGTAGTCTGATCGTCCGGGTGAGTGTAGTCCTGAGAAGGACTGTTGTCGGTGGAAGTGACTGACGTTTCGACAACCTGTGCGGAAGTCATCATCAGAGTCAAGTGAATGATTGTTGTCAGTATAATGTTCTTATTCCAGTTCGTGTGAAATGATCGGTTGGTTTTGCCGTGATGTTATTGGCTGTAAGACTCAAGTGACGTAAGTCGGTCGTGATTGGTCTGTTTCGATCTGTCGGTAAAGTTAGGTCGTTCTTTTTCGGTCGTTTGTGATGTTTATGTCGTGAATGAGGCGTTTGTATGGAGCGGGTAGTTGTTACTACCCTTCAATATCCGCGTCGCCCACAAACCCATCACCACACTACGTCAGTTACTAACCAACGTTAAAGACAAAGACGAACCGAGAAACAGACAGGGAACGATTTATAAGATCAATTGTTCCGACTGCCAAGCCTCCTACATCGGTGAGACTGGCGGAAACCTCACAACAAGACTGACTGAACACAGACGGGCGACGAGGAAAGGTGATGTCAGCAATCACATTGCTGAACACCATCGACTTACCAACCACAACTTTGACTGGGACTCTGCGCAATGCCTAACCTACAGCACTGACTATTTTCAACGACTGACTCTGGAAAGCTGGTTTACTAACTTAGAACAGACTCCCCTAAACAGATGTCAACAACTACCCGCTCTATACAAACGACTCATTCACGACATAAACATCACAAACGACCGAAAAAGAACGACCTAACTTTACCGACAGATCGAAACAGACCAATCACGACCGACTTACGTCACTTGAGTCTTACAGCCAATAACATCACGGCAAAACCAACCGATCATTTCACACGAACTGAAATAAGAACATTCTACTGACAACAATCATTCACTTGACTCTGGTGATGACTTCCGCGCAGGTTGTCGAAACGTCAGTCACTACCACCGACAACAGTCCTTCTCAGGACTACACTCACCCGGACGATCAGACTACACCTTCACATGTTACCCCCGGGTTCAAGCCATTTACTGCATTAAGTAGTTAAAATTATCTTGATAGCTAATTTAGACATAATATGTGGAATTTTCTACGGTAGACGATGTGCTTGTATTAATCGAATGTAGACAATAAAAATAGTCCCATCTACTGTTCTCACTGTAAATAGTAGTAGCCGTACAGCAGATACTGTCAAGAGCTGAATCTACGGCAGACAAAGTAGATGGCTCTATCTACTGCAGGTAGCGCAGATGACTGTATTCAATGCAGATATTGTAGATACATGAGGCTGTATCAAGTACAAACAATATAAGTGCGCTTGTTGGCTTTATCAAGAATGGACGTGGTAAATATCTGCATCTAATGTAGACTTTGTAGATGGTTTTATTCTCTTTACACCCTGTAGATATCTGAATCTATTGGTGATGGTGTCAATTGCTGTATGTGCTTTAGACAGCATGAATGGCTGTAAATTAATTTCAACACAATAGACAGTGGTATCTAACATAGATAATATTGTTTCCGTACTTGGAACTAGTTAGTTCAAACGACCACCACAAACCGCCCGATATCAAGCCAAGCTTTGTTAATTATTCGATTTAAAAAAAAATACATTTCTAATGCGCAATCAGAACAAAGGCAAATCAAGTCTTTATCTCTAGCTAAATTCAGAAAACTTCAATGTAAACTTACTTCTGTGTCGGGTTAGCAGATTCTATTAACAGATTCTCCCGATAAGAAGATTTATAGACAGACCATAAAATAAACTTAACTTCTTTCTCACCTCAATTCTTCTGAAAACTGGTTTGAAACATAATAACCTGACGCTTTCAAATCAGCAATGTATAGAATTGATGTCTTAAAACCCAGCTTCGCGATAATGATTTTTTCACCGAGACATGCATAGCGAAAGGAAAACTCACGTTTCGACTTTGATATGAGTATGTCTTTGCTGACACTGATCAACACCAGTACTCATTTGTGATTACGTTTGCGTATTTCATACATTACTAGAAATTATAAATGAGAAATGAGAGACAAAAAATTATATCAAGAAGTAAAAGTTAAATAAGACAAAATTCCAGAAAATTGCGAACACATACCGGCACACTTCATTGATATTCAATAAGCAGCAAATTTAGAAACTATAAATAGTAAAGATTAATCAAACATTGATTTATGACTCATCTTGAGATAAAAACTGTTTCATCAAGCCAAGCATAGCAAAGGGAAAAGTCACGTTCCCCAAAACTGTCTTGCTTGTGATTTCTCATGAGGGGACGCAAATCGTCTGCACTGGAAGTACACATCAAACTCCCTAGGCGTTCTAATCCAATTAAATATGTGGTTTTTATGTCAGCGTTTGCGTGGTTAATATCGTTAGCGCCCCTTTCGGTTGGATCTGGACAGTGTCTGTTTTTGGATCTGGACAATGTTCTTTTTTTTTTCCCAGATTGCTTTGTAGTGCACGTAGTATTCTTAGTTATTTTCCCAAAAATGGCGCTGAGGAAAGGTTTTTCGACCTTCTCTCGCGTCGTCAGTGATGCATTAAGCGAGCATAATTACTGGTATGTGCTCACAACAGAATTTTGTGGAATTACTCCTCTGCAATATTTTAAGCGATCGCCGATCCTGACAACTTTTCCAGAAGATTTCTGCCGAATTGAAAGCGACAAACTTCGGCTTCTCGATGGGCGCCCCTTCGTCAACAAGAAAAATTCCAGCGCATTTGAAGTTGTTTGCTCGTCTTTTGGGCTTGTATCGGTTATTCTGAGGGAAAAAAGAGCTTCTGAAGGAGGAGGATCCGCCGCGATTTATAATATTAAAGAATTTTTGAATGGCTTGGATTTGAGTTCCCTCAAGGGAGACGGCAACGACTNTTTGTGTACAGTGGCCTTTTTTTTTAGGTGCTTTCATGTTGTTTTAAATTGTTTCGAGATATTTTCAGGTAATTTCAGATAGTTTCCTTGGGGGTTTCAGATGGTTTCAGGTGCATGATTCCAACTTATAGTACCTACGGGAAATTTAACTTTAAATGCATCTTCCATCAACCACTATAAGCTGCAAAATCAAACTCAGGCACTTTGATGGATCTTTAATGAAATTTAACGGTATTGAGTTCTGATACACCACAAAACCAACATTCACAACAAAACATAAGGCAGCAAATACACTTAGCCGGTTTATGACGTCACTCCATAGCAACCAGCCTTTTCGAATATTTGAAGTTCTGTTTACCTGAGTCTCGTGATGACTCTTCAAATGGATATTTTTCTAACTACCAATACGTTTAAAAGTTGTCTGTGCCAAAAACGTCCTTCAATATTGAGCCCGTCTGCGTCTTGCATCGTCTCCAAGCGCCCTCTTGAATAATTTACATCTAAAACGGTTGTTAATCGTGGTAGCTTCACATTACTTTCCATTTCTTCTTTAGAATTAGCCTTAAGCATGATAAGTCCGCTTTCGTTACCTACCTATTTTGTATCCAGATTTGGAGAAAATGATTTTTTATCAATAGAGTTTGTCTCAGCCACATTTGGTCCACCATTGATGCCAGGCAGAACTTAAGCCAGATTACCCGCTTTCTTCTGCTGTCGCTTTCGCTTTCTCCATTCTCTACTTTGTTTACGTTTCTCTTTGGGAGTATTTTTTCGCGATTTTACCCCCCGTTTATTTGGTATTTCCAGCTTTGTGGAGGCCTCAAGGTCCGCCGACATTTTATTAATGTATTCCCAAGCAAGAAGAGCGAATTAGTTGAAACAGTACGTGCATCCGATCTCGTAATTTACAAAAACTTTATTGTTCTCGTGAAAAATGAGAGCTGTCTTATTGAAACTTGATGACAATATAAGCCGGCAAAGAAAACACTGTAAAAGCAATTGTCTGTCACATCGATGTCGGCAGCAACAAGATTATGACGCCTTACAGGAAAGCTGCCTGGAGCGCTCAAAAAGCCCCATACATTTTCTTAGACTTTTAGTCTAAGAAAATGTATGGGACTTTCCGGGGTACTTGCAGTGCAGACGATTTGCGTCCCCTCATGTAAATGATGAGAATTAGGAAGGAAAAGACAGAAAGTGAGCTCGCGTGATAGGTTCTACCTAAGGTGAAATTCCAGAAAGATAAAAGTACATACCGACACACTTCATTAATATTCAAAAACGTAGGCAATTTAGGAACTATTGATGATAAAGGTTTCCGGTCAAACTTATTGATGTATGACTCAGCTTAATATAATAATTGTTTCATAACCATGCATAGCAAAGTCAAAAGTTACGTTCCCCAAAACTATGTTGCTTGTGAGAGGAGTATGTTATTGCTGACACATTAGTCCAAGCACTAACTTGTGATTATTTTAGAATATTTGCCAAATTTCTATAAATGATGAGAATTAGGAAAAAAGGATAGAAAATGAGACCACGTGGTAAGTTTTACCTCAAGCAAAATTCTAGAAAGATACAAACACATTTCGGCACACTCCATTGATGTTCAGCAAGTAACCAGTTTGAGCTAATCAATGGTAAGACTCCTTAGAAAGCGAGAGTAATGTGAACCGAGTCCTATATTCCTTTACACTCTCTCAGAAAGCTTGTGTGCAGACGTAGCCTCTTTCGTTTGTCAAATCACTTAGAACAGCCTCTACGCCTCAGGGTAAAGCCAATTAGTATCAATTCTCAACAGACTTTTCACCATCAACATCACGTGTTTTAATGAAAATTGCATTAAAACTAGACACACGAAATGAAATTTATCATTTGACAGCAAAACGAGCGGCGACCACTTGCAATACAATCATGAGCTCCAAACCTTATCGTGTTGGTCAATGGATTCCTTCCGACCAGAAAATTCTTGACAAATGGTTAGACGACTTAATCGCAGAAGTCAAGACTAAATACAGCGATAAGCTAGAGTTATTGATGGCTCTTCATCCACCAGCTGAGAAAGAAGAGAGAGTCGTCAGTGGAAATCAACTCGCAGTTGCGAAAGGCACAGAGAAAGACCTCGGTCTCCATTCACCAGTTAAAGATTTGCTGGATGCTATTATCTCCGACCCCGAGATCAACATGTTCTTCCATCAGATGTTCTGGCAACAGTACAAGCTCCCAGATACTTCAGAAGGGACAAAGATTCCTTGCTGGCAACTGATGATTTTTTCAATCGACTACATCATGACAACAGCTCCAAAGTACAACAAAACTGGTTTGGTTGGTTTTCCCATCAACGTAATCCTGAACTGGCCGATGGCTACGACTGCTGGATTTGCTGCTTTCCTAAACGACAAAGTCAACAGGTTGTTCAAGAATATCTTAAACTACTGGGGAAAGTTTCTTTCAAGTTCCGACTCCTGCTATGTGTTGACTGATGATCCTCGTCATGGTTGGTTTGGTGAAGACGCAATGGAAGCGATGCCAAACTTCGTCAAAGAATTCAAATGCAAGCCTAATAAAAAACACCATGGTTTTACATCATGGGATGATTTCTTTACCAGAGAGTTCCGCGATGGCATTCGTCCAGTAGAATCTCCAGACGACGATTCCATTGTCGCGAATGCCTGTGAGTCGGCGCCATATCAGATCTCTACAGCCGTGCAACACAGGGACTACTTCTGGATAAAGCACCAGCGATACTCCTTAGACTTCATCCTGAACATGAGTGACCTTGCCAAGCAGTTCTATGGTGGTACCGTCTACCAAGCGTTCCTAAGCGCCACCAGTTATCACCGATGGCACAGCCCTGTGTCGGGCATCATTTACAAGACAGAACTCGTGGATGGTTCCTATTATTCTGCAACCCACAACATCCGAGATGACCCTGCATCGCCCAACATGTCACAAGGATACCTGGCCCAGGTAGCTGCCAGAGGTATTATCTACATTCAAGCTGACAATCCCGCCATTGGCTTGATGTGCTTTGTATCAATCGGTATGTCAGAGGTGTCCTCCAACGAAATCACCGTTACAGAAAAGAAGAGAGTCAAGAAAGGTGAGCAGCTCGGCATGTTTCACTTTGGTGGGTCCACGCATCTCCTGATATTCCGGCCGGGAGTAAATATTGAATTCGATACTAGAGGTCAAACGCCAGGTCTGGATACAATAAATATTCCAGTTAAGTCGAAAATTGCGACCATACTTCCAGCAGGCAAATAGAAACAGTCAGAATTTTGATAAACATTTCACTCAATGTGGTTTGAGATGACTTATACCTTAACACAATTAGAGGCGATGAAATTTAAGTAGATTTAGATATGCACAAATTTTGGCGCATCATTGGTTAGTTGCTTAACGATTTTTAGAGGGAGAAAACTTCTTGGGTATAATGGGTTTAGATTGGCTAGTTTTTCCTTTAGTGTTTTGCAAAGCATTTTTTTAAGCTTGTTATCGCTTTAGCGCATGAATTCCAATACAGCATATATTCATATATACTAGTACGAATCATGTAGAGACACCGCTCAATTCCTGGGTATTACATCGACAGGGACTTTGTGCAAAGGCTCGCAGTATCCATACGATTCGGTACCGACTGTATCAAAACCTTGTTTTCCGTCAGGAATAAAAGATATTCGTTTTAATTATGATGTCTGTACTCCTTGTGTCTGACTTACACCGACTGGCTGATTATTTGTTTTAAATCACATTCCAAACAACGCCTTCACAAAAAGAAAAAAATGCTAAGTTATCAGCACACCTGATCAGGTTATTTTCAGTCACAGCATCGTCAATCACTGTCAGTTTAGACAAAAACTTAAGATATCACAGGTATGCAGGCGGTGTGCGCACTCTGATTGCATTGCATTATGGTCGTTCTACAAAAAGTGAGTCACTTACATCCTGACGCGGTCGACTGAACTTCCTTCCTGAGCTTGCCATCTTGGTGGCAGCAAGATAGCGTGTGTCTACGTGGAATGTAATGGGGATTCACTGTCTGTTCCTGTTCCTTTGAAAGTTTAAAAAGTTTGACGGGCCTGTACAATTCCTCTCATTCCTCCGTGACGAGTTCATTCTTAGGAGACAACCGACGTGATTAAGAAAGATTCGAAACCGCAATCTGTCGAAGAATCTCGACACAAATGGCAACAGTTATAGTCAAAGTCAGTAATTATTTTCCTAGACGCAAATAATTTAACAGGCACTCGACCCTTGCTTGACATGAAAAAAGCTAGCCTCATAAAGAGACAGAAACCTTCTAAAACACGAACTTATCTTCCAAGCGTAAATACGGTAATTGTTAAAAGGAGAAGCCCGAAGCCTCCTAGAACGAATTTGTCCACGTCTAGTAAAAACGTACAGAGTTTCAAATACGATTCGAGATTAGAGGAAACCTATATGAGAGTTTTGAGAAACGCATCTCTCGAATACTTTCTGCAAGAGAGAAAGTATACTTTCAAAACAAATAAAATAACACGCACACAGAAGAAAATATTGCCTTCTGTGAAACAATCTCATTCGGCTTTGCCAAACCTCAAGAACATACAGATGGGAAAATGACATCTTAAAACTGACCCTTATTATCACATCGCAATTCGCAAAGGGAAGTCATTGAGAGATACGCCATGTATTAAGAGCTAAACTTTGAGGGTAGAAGATTTAAAAGCGCTAGTGAATGGTAGGAAACGCGTAGGCCTATCAACAACTTTCAACGCACGACTGCCTTTTGCTTTCTGGGTTACTGGCGTGTCGCCAAGAGTAAGGTAGCGGTTTTCAGGGATCAAATGACTCTTTTCATTGCTCTAATCAAACTTTCCTTCATTCAATGATCAAGATAGTAGATGTAGATTTACCATGCAATACTCGCGATGAGTTAATTTGCCTTTAAATAAGATAGTAGACTTACAACAAGATTGAGTTAAATGACTAACAGTGGGCCATTTCCCTGCCATAACAGGTCTCAAACACTATCACTTAAAATTCATAAAACTTATGTACCGTTGGAGAGCGTTTGAGAGCGTTTTGTCAGAGCTGTTAAAGAAGGATCAAAGTGGCCATATAAATCTTTGAAAGGCTTCCGCAAAATACGGCTTACAACGAATTTGACCTTCTCCAAAACCGGTCTCAAATTACTTGCTAAAAACAGTGCTTGCGTTTGTCCTTGGGAACGATAGAATACGAGACAAATACGTACAAAAAATATTCTACACGTTCAGAATATATCAAATTACATTTACTTATAGCGAAAGGAAAAATAGACAGCCTTACTTTTACGGAATGTTCAGTCAAAATCTGCCGATTTCTGCCGCTTTTACCGCCCTATTGAAAATAACGCTACCACAATGCAACGCAGTCGGAGTGCGCACACCGCCTGACATACACGTTTGTTAGTGTATCAAAGCCTTTTTTGTTGTTGCAAACCCAACGCCTAAAACGCCACGCTGGTATTACGTAGACTGGACGAACTGATAGAGATTTAGAGGTATCCTCCGATCCATTTATTAGTCAGAAATATTTCTGAGCTCAAGTTAGGAATCAAACCTACACTGAGCTTAATCGGCATCGAGACCCGCACGTATTTAGACGAAATCCACAAGAAAGGTCATGCCGAATGCAGTGAATCACTCAAAGTCAAGGGCTAAATATATTTAGGAATAATACTCGGCTTCGTTAGATAGCCGACCAACTTTGATATAATCATCTCATGTCGCATAGGTCAGTCGTCCGTCATGGTATGGAATTATGGCACTAATCTCCCTCTAAAGAGCTGACTCTTAATCTAGCCATTTAAAAAATTTGAGATCGTCGCATATGGCATTGGTAAGCGTCCGTTATGTCGAATGTAGCGTGCTTTACGTAAGGTCCATTTGCGGACTAACTTTGCCCATTTAATTGACATTCTTTCTTTCTTCCGAGTCCTCTTGTCCTTGAAAATGCGGAGAAAAAATGGCGAGGTCAATTTCCGGTGATGTTGACTGGATAAGATTAAACAACAATGCTTACTCTTTGTATTGTCCAACTAAAATCGGGTCATGCTCGAATGGGATTTCGACAGTTGATTTGTTTGATTAATGTTTTAAATCAATATCAAACTAATTGAAATAATAATAAAATCATTGGCAGCGAGTGCTTTAATTTTCGCGACCTTTTCGAACTGAGGACACAAGGTCCACACATCCTCGAGTGCGAACAGCTGGTGTCCGTTAACTCTAGAAATAACGCTGCGAATCATCAGATTTATTGGCTACAGCGCCCTTCCTTCAAAGTTTTTAAGGCTGGAAGAGTGAAACTAGACGAAAAACCGGCTGTCATGTTGTGTTACCTCTACGTGTCATCATGGAAAATTCTGGTAATGACTATTCCCAGGAGTTACCGCGTTGCAACCGAAAACGGTGGGTGAAGTGTTCGTGAGGAAACAGCAATGACCTCAACCAAACTGGTTGCGGTTGAGACGGTTGATCCAAGAAAATAGCGTCACTTTTAATCAAAGGGTAGGCCTCACAGTTACCTGCGACCTACGTTTGTCTTTTCCAAACGTCTTCGGATTCTCATATCCCTCGATCTTTGGACTGTAACGTGCAAAAAACTTTAATGCAAACTTACTTCTGTGTCGGGTTAGCAGATTCTTTTCACAGATTCTCCAGATAAGAATAAATATAGACAGACCATAAAATACAATTAACTTCTTTCTCACTTCGATTCTTCTGAAAAACTGGTTTGAAACATAATAACCTGACGCTTTTGAATCAATGTATAGAATCAATATCTTAACCCCCGCTGCGCGGTAATGATTTTTTCACCAAGACAGGAGTGTGTCCTTACTGACATTGATCAACACCAGCACTCATTTGTGATTACGTTCGTTTATTTACTAAATTTTTAGAAATTATAAGAACTGAGAATTAAGAGACAAAAAAATTGTATCAAGTAGTAAAAGTTAGATAAGGCAAAATTCCAGAAAAATGCTAACACATACCGTCACACTACATTGATATTCAAAAAGCAGCAAATTTAGAAACTATTAATTGTTTCATCAAGCCAAGCATAGCGACTGGGAGAAAGTCACGTTCCCCAAAACTGTCGTGCTTGTATTTCCTACAATTTAAGAGTGTAAAAGAGTGGTGTTTTATCATTTAGTTGGTCACAAAATCACTGAATGTGTAAGTATTTAGATGAACTGTCTACGCTCGGCTGGTCTCTCATAGACCCGGTTCTGTACCCACTGCTCCTCTGGTCTTCTGTACCCACTAGTCCTCTGTTCCTCTGTTCCTCTGTTCTCATTGTTCCTATTTTCCCACTGTTCCTCTGTTCCCACTGTTCCTCTAATCCTCTGTGCCCACTGTTCCTCTGGTCCTCTGTGCCCATTGTTCCTCTGGTCCTCTGTGCCCACTGTTCCTCTAATCCTCTGTGCCCACTGTTCCTCTGGTCCTCTGTGCCCACTGTTCCTTTGGTCCTCTGTGCCCACTGTTCCTCTGGTCCTCTGTACCAACTGTTCCTCTGGTCCTCTGTGCCCACTGTTCCCCTGGTCCTCTGTACCCAGTCCTCTGGTCCTCTGTACCCACTGTTCCTCTGGTCCTCTGTGCCCACTGTTCCTCTGGTCCTCTGTGCCCACTGTTCCTCTGGTCCTCTGTGCCCACTGTTCCTCTGGTCCTCTGTACCCACTG